CTCAGTTTCAGGTGTATGAATCCATGAGGATCTCCACCATGACATCCCATGACTATGCCCTACCCGTATTCGTCTACACGAGGCTAGGATACAGAGATGAACCTTTATTTTTTCTTTCTAAGGTAAGAATTCTTTACTTGATGATAGGGGTTCTCCACTCTATCTCAGAAGTGGTATTCCTTTGTTAATTATACGCTTCGAAGAAGTCCAAATCAATAGCCTGTTACTTGGGGACATAATTCCATTTAGACTCTTTGTTTATGCAATCTGAATTCTGATCATTTTATTTATTATTATTCCTTTAGGGAAGCAAGCACGGAAGGAAGGGGTTAAAGTACAAAACTGACTACCACTCTACTTCCTGTTCCGCAGTTTTGATTGTGTTTCCTTGCTGTAGACCGCTTTGAGAGATTTGTAAAATGACTGGCAGTGGATGGGTTAGAGTCAGAGAGTGAGTTCTAGATGGAGTAGTTTGCACTTCCTCCTGCAGCTAGAGGTGGAATTGAAGACATTTCTGCTTCTGGTCTCACCACGTCAAGTATCGACTTTTTAATATAAAAAGTAAAGTATTTTCTTATAATACGTAATAGTCAGCTTTGGGAAAGGTGTAAGAGTGAATGGAGAAGTTGCAAATCTGCTAAAGGAAGGCGCTTGCCTGCCTTTTTCTAGGTCATCTGTGCCTCTATGACCACAACTGACAGAAAGTTGATAATAGTGACACAATGCAATACTTACATCATCACTAAGTAGATGATTTTGTGACCTTATGTTAACATTTAACAAATAAAAGTTTTATTTTGTCTGTTAATTCTTACTACAGTCAATGCTGTCAAAGGCCTCACACAGGCATGAGAGTTACTTAGAAGAGGTGGACTTTCAGCTGGATTTTCTCCCATTCTGCCCCTTCGATACTCTACCACTTAGAAGGAAACTTCTAGGGAAAGTAGTTGATCTGTAGTGTTTGGATTTCGATAACTATGGGTAAACATTGTATGTTCAGAAGATTTGAGAATTGTTCAGGCCTGAACATGTATGATGTGGTGGTGTTTTAAGGTATCACTGAGAAAAAACTTTTAATATTGTTTAACAGAGGCATTTGTTCTTTCTCCTCTGTTTCAAATTCCACCTCATCAGCACATGTCAAATATAGAGATGTTCTGAGTGTTAGGAATCTTAAGGAACAGGCTGAGGCAACACCCAGGTCGGTGAAGGTTCTAGCTTGACCAGCAGGCTTCTGTGAAATATACATGGGGTGGTGCCTACTTACCATGGGGAGAAATGGCACACATTTATTGGCTTTTTTTAATACAGTATGGAAAATGCTATGCTTTTGACACGGAAACAAAGTGAGTAGGGAAAAAAATCCTCTCTTGTAAACTGATGTTCATACTACCCAGAAAAATCACCAATAAGTAATTTGGTGGAGAATGATAAGAAATCAATACTTTGTGGAAGGTTACATAATGTTATCTAGATCTTTAAAAAATATTATTGACTCTGAACTTTAAAGTTAAACAGCACTTTCTTCTATGAAACTTCTTTTCTTTTCCTATACCTGGCTCAGACAAGCTCCTTTTTTAGGGAAAGGAGATTTATTTTAGAAGAAATAACAAACTTTCAGGGACAACGCATTCATCTCAAATGATTACGCTACTGGTACATTCTGCACATCATACAAAAGTAGGGTATGTTTTCATCTTTACTAGTTGCTGCTGTTCTTATTAGGTGTCATCCAGTCAGTTCCAACTCATAGCGACCCTATGACAACAGACTGACACACTGCGAGGTCCTGCGTCATCCTGACAATGACTGCTGCTTGAGACCATTTTTGCAGCCACTGTGTCAAACCATCTTGTGGAGAGTCTTCCTCTTTTTGTTGACCTCTACCTTACCAAGCATGATGTCCTTCTCCAGGGAGCTGACATTCTTGGTAACATGTCCAAAGTCCCTGAGACAACGTCTTGCCATTCTTGTCATTCTAGGTATACTTTTTCCAAGAGAGATCTGCTTGTTCTTCTGGCAGAGTCAGTGGTATAGTCAATAGTCTTCAACACCATAATTCAAAGCCATCAATTCTTCTTCAGTCTTTATTCATTGTCCAGCTTCTGCATGCATACGAGGTGATTGAAAATACCAAGGCTTGGGTCAGGTGCACCATAGTCCTCAAAGTGACATCTTTGCTTTTGAATAATTTGAGAGGTCTTTTGCAGCAGATTTGCCCAATGTAATATGTCATTTGATTTCTTGACTGCTGCTTCCATGGGCATTAACTATGGATCCAAGTCAAATGAAATCCTTGACAACTTCAATTTTCTCTCTGTTTATCCTGATGTTGCTTATTGGCCCAGTTGTGAGGATTTTTGTTTCATTTATGTTGAGGCGTAATACGTATTGAAGGCTGTAGTCTTTGATCTTCATCAGAAAGTGTTTCCAGTCTTCTTTACTTTCAGCAACTAACGTTGTATCATCTGCATATTGCAGGTTGCCAATGAGTATTTCTCCAACTCAGATGCCTTGTTCTTTTTTCCTATACTGCAGCTTCTTGCACTATTTCCTCAGCATTCAGATTGAAAAAGTACAGTGAAAGGATACAACCCAGACACACACTTTTCCTCACTTTAAACCATGCAGCATCCCCTTGTTCTGTTCGAACAACTGTATTTTGGCCTATGTACTGGTTCCAGATGACCACAGTTAAGTGTTCTGGAATTCCAGTTCTTCTAAATATTATCTATAATTTGTTATGATCCACACAGTGGAATGCCTTTGCATACTCAATAAGACATAAAAACATCTTTCTGGTATTCTGTGCCTTCATCCAAGATCTATCCGTCCTCTATTGGATCTAGCTTGAATTTCTGGCAGTTCTCTGTAGATGTACTGCTACAACAATTTTTGAATTATCTTCAGCAAAATTGCATTTGCCTGTAATATTAAGGATATTGTTTGGCAATTCCTGCATTCTGTTGGATCTCTGGAATTGGCACAGATATGGAACACTTTTAGTGAGTTGGTCAGGTAGCTGTCTTCCAAATTTGTTGGCAGAGATAAGTGAGTGCTTCCAGCCTTGCACCTATTTGTTGAAACATCTCAATGGGTATTCTGTCAATTCCTAGGTGTTTGTTTTTTTTTTGCCAATGCCTTTAGTGCAGTGTGGACTTCTTCTTTCAGTACCATCGGTTCTTGATAATATGCTACCTTCTGATATAGTTGAATGTCAATCAATTCTTTTTGGTACAGTGACTCTGTATTCTTTCCATCCTTCCTTGATGCTTTCTGCATCATTGTTCAATATCTTGCCCATAGAATATTTCAGTATTGCAACTTGAGGCATGAAATTTTTCTTTATATTTTTCAGCTCGAGAAATACCAAGTATGTTCTTCCCTTTTGGTTTCCTACCTCCAGGTCTTTGTACATTTCATTATAATGTTTTACTCTGTTTTCTTGAGGCACCCTTTAAAATCATCTGTTTAGCTATTTTACTTCATCATTTCTTCTGTTTGCTTTAGCTACTCTATATTCAACAGCAAGTTCCAGAGTCTCTTCTGACATCCATTTTGGTCTTTTATTTCTTCCTTGGCTTTTTAATGACCTCTTGCTTTCTTCATGCATGATGCTCCTGATGTTATCCCACAATGCATCTGGTCTTTGGTCATTAGTGTTCAATGCATCAAATCTACTTTTGAGATGGTCTCTAAATTCAGGTGAGATATACTCAAGATTGTACTTTGGCTCTTGTGAACTTTATTAACTTTCTTTAGCTTCAACTTGAACCTGCATATGAGCAACTGATGGCTTGTTCCACAGTTGATCCTTGGCCTTGTTCTGACTGATGATATTGAGCTTCTTTATCATCTCTTTCCACAGATGTAGTGAATTTGATTCCTGCTGAGTTCAAAAAACAGAAAACAACAAATGTTGGTGAGGGTGTGGAGAGACTGGAACCCTCATACACTGCTGATGGGACTGTAAAATGGTGCAACCACTGTGTAAAATGGTATGCCATTTCCTTAAAAAGCTGGACATACAAATACCATATGATCCAGGAATCCCACTACTAGGTATATACCCTAAAGAAATAAGCACCATGACATGAACATATATAGGCACACCCAAGTTCATTGTGGCAGTATTCACAATAGCAAAAAGATGGAAATAACCTAAATGCCCATCAACAGGTAGTTAAATTATGGTACATACACAAGATGGAATATTACACAACATTAAAGAATAACAATGAATCTGTGAAACATATCATAGCATGGATGAAACTTGTGGACATTATACTGAGTGAAATTGGTCAGTCATAAAATGACAAGTATTGTATTAGACCACTATTATAAAAAGTCAGGAAAGGATGTCACACAACAAGAACTATTCTTTGATGGTTACCAAAATGGGAAGAGAAGGGAGGGTAAACCACTAACTAGAGGGTAAAAAACAAACAAACAAAGTCACTGCTATCAAGTCGATTTCAACTCATAGTGACCCCCATTGGGTTTCCATGGCAATAAATCTTTAACGACATAGATTACCTCATCTTCTTTCTTGGAGCACCTAGTGAGTTTGAACTATCAACCTTCTGATTAGCAGGTAAATGCCCTAGGCACTGCACCACCAGAGCTCCTTAACTAGAGGGTAGAGACATATTAATTTAGGTGTAGGGGAAGGCAATGGAAAAAGAAACATTGGGTGACAGAGAACAAATATTGGTCTGCCACTTGCTGTGCAACTACAGGGACATCATTTTCTCTGTAAGCTTCACGGGGAAAAACTGATTTTTTTGTATTTATTCTGGTGAGATCCACATGTATAGTCACTGCTTATATTGCAGGAAAAAAAAAAGGCATTTACCATAAATAAGTCATTGGTCTTGCAAAATTCTATTGTGTGATCTCCAGTGTCATTTCTGTCACCAAAGCCATATTTTCCTACTGATCCTTCTTGTTTCCAACTTTCACCTTCCAATCACTAGTAATTATCAATTCACCTTGATTGAATGTTTGATCAATTTCAGATTGTAGAAGCTGATAAAAAGTCTTCAATTTCTTCATCTTTGGTTAGTGGTTAGTGCATAACTTTGAATAATAGTAGTATTAACTGGTCTTTTTTGTAGGTGTA